TAGACCAATTATAAATGGCTAAAGACATAAACCATCCTCTCTCTCTCTCTCTCTCTCTCTCTCTCTCTCTCGGGAGACTTTTTTTGAGTGTTGTATCAGACGATAGTATGAAAAGCAACTAATGAAACATTTCTTTGACCTGACTTGAGACGTTATTAGCGAGGTAAAGTCTTAATATACATTTAATGGTTGTTTTTTTATTATTTTATTATTATTGAAAATGTTTGCAGTAGCTATATTAGAATAATATAAAATCTAAATAAACAAAATGGATTGGCATTAATCTAATATCCCCAATTAAATTTAAATAAACATGACGGATACAATCAAAAAGACATTTAGGCTAACTCTGATAGAGTGATGTATATCGTAATAATTAGCAATTGACAGTGCAACGCCTGCATATCAATCTTGTTGTATCCTTATAATAATGGATACAGCACTGTGCATCCTGGCGATAACATAAGAAATGCAGGCTATTAAAAATAAATAAATAAATAAATAAAGCTTTGAAGTTGCCGGTATAGACGAAAACATCGCGGATGAAAGTATGAAAAGCAACTAATGAAACATTTCTTTGACCTGACTTGAGACGTTATTAGCGAGGTAAAGTCTTAATATACATTTAATGGTTGTTTTTTTATTATTTTATTATTATTGAAAATGTTTGCAGTAGCTATATTAGAATAATATAAAATCTAAATAAACAAAATGGATTGGCATTAATCTAATATCCCCAATTAAATTTAAATAAACATGACGGATACAATCAAAAAGACATTTAGGCTAACTCTGATAGAGTGATGTATATCGTAATAATTAGCAATTGACAGTGCAACGCCTGCATATCAATCTTGTTGTATCCTTATAATAATGGATACAGCACTGTGCATCCTGGCGATAACATAAGAAATGCAGGCTATTAAAAATAAATAAATAAATAAATAAAGCTTTGAAGTTGCCGGTATAGACGAAAACATCGCGGATTAATTTAGACATTAAAGTTTTTACATTGTAATGTAATGTAGGTCATCGTGTAGATATGTAACGTAGGTCAAAAACCCTTGCTACATGTATTGCGTTAGACTTCACTTAGACCAAGTCATTAGACTAAGTCGCTGTGGATAAAAGCATCTGCAAAATGATAAAATGTAAATAAAAATATGAATTTATTCGAGACCTACTACAGCGCATGCGTGTAAAATATCCACTACGTAGTGGATATAGTCCAGCTACGTCATCGTACTGCAAGCTGCAGCAAGGACAGACTCTTGTATTCTAGTAAAAACGAAAGAATAGCAATGATCGGGTAAACCACTATAAAGTTGATGTCGCTATAGAGTTAGAACCGGTGAATGCGGTTTACAGGTTTCATAGAAAGAATGATGTGTGCCAAATGAGTCCGCATGCGTGTAAAATATCCACTACGTAGTGGATATAGTCCAGCTACGTCATCGTACTGCAAGCTGCAGCAAGGACAGACTCTTGTATTCTAGTAAAAACGAAAGAATAGCAATGATCGGGTAAACCACTATAAAGTTGATGTCGCTATAGAGTTAGAACCGGTGAATGCGGTTTACAGGTTTCATAGATAGAGAATTATGTGCGCCAAATGAGTCACTGTAGAAACCGAATACTTCAGTGGTTGCGGACGAAATAGCTCAAATCGAGAGCCAACGCAAACGCAATGACGTGAAATAAAACATCCTCGTGTTTTAAAGAAGAGTGGCTTGATTAAGTGCTGGAAATAGTGGATGATTGGCACAGAACGGTAACAAAACTCAGCAGGGCCATGCAGAGACCATTGGAGGGGCAAGTGCTCAAAGTATAAAAGGGGCACATGGAGCACGGCTTTTAATAGGGCTGTGCTCCTTGCTGATAGGTGTATCGAAACAGATGCTTCTGTATAGCAGCAAATGCCGCGACGCAGTTTTGAAAAAGAAACAGAACAGAAAAGACCATTTTAAGTTTAAAACTTAAAGAAATGTTTCTTTGCACCTCTTAATCACTCTGGAATTAGAAACGGAATTATATTAGGCCTATTATTATTATTATTATCGAGTTTACAGGGTATGGTGGTTTTGCTGTTGTAAACACTACTGTTGTTGTAGAAAAAATATATTTCTGTCTTATTTAAAATAGAATTATATTCTAATCCTGTTCTGAATTTATTAATTTTTTGAATGATAATGATAATAAAAACAGGATTGATAAGTATAAATCGGAGGATGAGAAAATCACTATAAGCCTGTTTTATCAGTGTTGTGATAATTATTTTTAAGGCACTCTACGTATCTTAAATAATTAATGTAATAATAAAAGTTCAAAGCAATAGTTTTTAGTCAGATAACATAAAGACAAGACCCCTCGACGCCCTCTTTTTCCAATCAAACAGCAAGAACGAAAGAGAACAGGCACCTTTATATTGCTGTGTGTGTAGAATGTTAGCTGCATTTTTAATATTTAATTTTAGTGAAATGTAAATTCGTCCCCCACACTTTATTCGGGCAGGTGTGTTCACATAGAGGTTTCTAGATTTAAATCTAGATTTAAAATCAAAGAGACAGTATCGATAGTCTATGCATGACCTGACGTTTTTTTCGTATCCAAAATGAGAAGTGAATATCTGGATGCAGTGTATGTTTAATTCATACTCGAAGCCGGAGGGCGCTCTCGTGCAGAAAGTCCAAAACAGACTCATAGAAGGAATGACTTATGACATACAGGAAATCCCTAATATGGACAAAAGCATCGGGCTATTGCTGAGTTGAATAAAAAGCAGAAAAAACGTGAAGACAATAAACACACGATTGCTAAAATATACGGTTTATGTGTGTTTTTCAAGTTATCTCCAGGTAATAAATAAACTATATGAATAATGCTGATTATATATAATAACTGATTAACATATAATTTAGTAGCCTATAGAAACTATAGAATATATTTCCTGCCTTATTCTGTGAGGAAAAGGTGCTCATAGTAGCCTTTATAAACGATCATAAAATTATCATTAGGAAAATATTGAACAAAAATATTATAGCCCCTTGCTGCAGCTAACCTTACTTCCACAGGCTACAAACAGCAATATAAACAACAGCTGTGCATGCTCTCTTCACGCCGTTCTTGTAAAAGAATAATAATTTAATAATATAAGTATACAAGCACACCGCTCCTCTGAGAACTCCACTTACCAGCAGCCGTGGACGTTATGAAGGCATCCTGGTAGTGCGCTAAATTAAAAGTGTCTGAACGTGAGGGATCGTCCCGGATGAGATCGTCAGGTGAAAGGTCATCATCATGTGGATAATTTTATTTACGGCGTAAAATTATTATTCATAAATTTTACTAATA